GGGTTCTCATCAATTCAAAAGTTTGGAAAACACTTTTAAATGGAGAAAATAAAATCAAGAATATATCTGGCGAATCCTAAGGAAGTTTCTGCTTTAATTAACTGTTCGTTTTATGTCAACTCTTGTCGTTTACTAGCATTTATTATGGTGAATGCGGACTGAAGTTCCGCTTCCAGGGATAAAGCTTATTTTGTAGACCTTTTCGTGAGAACGTCGAACACGCTTGCAATCAATATATATGGGAATGCTGGTCTAGTGCCAGTTTCATCATTTCATGATATAAATTTGACCCAGTCTCATTCCTCTCGGCTGTATCCGCAGTCAGAAATCGCTCTAGTATTCCCGTGCTAGATATTCCAGCTCTCCATCATATATGATTTAACTTTGGTTCTGAATTTCTAAACTATGGCTTCCCCAAACTTGTTGGTTTCACCTGGGATACATAATTTATCGACGGGTATTGCGTTGTTATTCTGGGGAAGAAGATGGTTTAGCTGGGTATATGCTGCCAAAAATTAAACCGTGAGGTAACAATACATGTCTCGTCCTGTTCTTACTGCACTTGTTATCTGTTATCATTTTCTTCTGATACGAGGAATGCTTTGTCCCAGGATGTTGACAAGAGAATGCATCGTTCCTTTAAAGAGACTCATCACACCTGATGAACTCGAGTACGATTAACTCAGAGACGCCTTTCCAGGTTCTCTGATTTGACTTTTCTTCTGTCCTTCTGAAGCGAGATAGGGATGATCTGCTGAAGGAACGCCTTAATATAAACGGGAAGAAAGATAGTAACAACTTTGTGACCTCATCTTTGACTGATTCTGTTAGATGCCTTTACTTGCATGTTATTTAGGATAACCACAGCATAATGAAAATTGAAAGTTGCCATTGTTTTTAATTGGTACCATTAACGAAAGTGAAATTTCAAAAAAAATGGAATTATCAGCCAATGTAGGTTCATGATCCTCATAATTCTTCTTTCTCTTATGGAAAGCCAAACTTTAGGAGGTTTGTTCTTACACCATCAATATTGTCGACATAGATGAAGTGATTGGCATGGTTTTGTTCTGTCCAAATTTTTCTTGTTTTTGTAGGTTTGTTGTTTCCATCCCTGGGGTCAAGTTCCTAAATCTATTATAGCATCAAATATTATAGCAAGTTGTTGTGGCAGCGATGAAAATGTTTCACGAGTAAGCTTTCAGATTTGTTCATGCTCGGACCCATGTTGACAGTCTTGAAGGTGCATTCATGTCTGCACTGCTCATCGCCACCTCTCATCATCTGAAGCAATGTAGTAGAGATGATTGTGAGGCCTTCGGCCCTGTGAACGTTTGGATATCGCTCACTAAATAGGGAGATTCAGAAAGGGAAAATTAAGTACAGGCCGATGCCTCTGGTGCTCTCCCCTAGAAGTTGACATGTTCTTGCCGGAACCGTTTTATTACAAACCAAGCCTCAGTGAGAAGCAGTATGATTAAAGCACCATTTAGATAGTGAATGATGCAAATCGCTGGTCTGGTAGCTTTCTTTAGTTATAGAAAACACTAAAGAATGGTTTTTTACTTATATATACTTCTATATTCACTTATAGTAAGTGAAATATACCGAAGGGTAAGACGATCCAGATCTGACATATGAGTAGTGCTAATTATGAGAGAGTTGAGTGCATATTATTATGGAGTTTATAGTATGCACGCTACGAGGTCACAAAGTGACCTCGTAGCCACCATGTAGGACTATAAACCTAGCTGAAGTCTCGAATCAGACTTCAATAAATACAAGACTAATAGGTAACTTGATAATATAATCATCGTCCCTCGAATTGTCCATGTTTCTATGTGCAGTGGACATCACTTCACATAGATATGTACATACAGGGGTTGAGCTCTAAAAAAGGAACGAGGGGAATGTAGGTGGGCAGGGCACTCGACCCCTCCTAGGGGCTTAACGTTAATGTTACCAGGAGCCAGGACAGACCGATATGCCAAATTTCTATTTCTTGAGGGGCATTTTTTGCCTTCAGACAAAATACTCAAATTCTAACTTCGATTAGGATACGGACAAGTAGAAACTACACGAGTCAAGAGTTTGGATGTGCATGTGCGGAGTGGAAGCAGAGTTTGGGCGAAATCGAACATAGGTATCTCCAAAATCATAAATCTTATTAGAGATATACTAAGAGATGACAGTTCTTAAAATAAAGGTAACCATTCCTAAGCTAATAAAATAGAACGAAATTTGGTCTCATGGGTGACCTATACAAAGACAATTTGAACCTTTCTCTGTTGGATACTAAGTGGCGGCATGATATCATAAGGCGGGGCTGAATTGATCATAGTTTCTGTGTTGCCTTTGTTGAATCTTTATACAATTATATTCCAAGTAATAATCCTCAAAAATATCATACCATGAATTTATAGTAGTTCGGTCCTCTTAACCTACATCTACTCTTCAAGGAATCCTTTTACGGTTCCATAATTTCCTAAGCATTTTAAACGTTGAATTTCAGTCACAGAAACCTGCTGGCTTTCCAGCTCTAGCCTACTTGGAATCCCTCAAATTTTCTTCTTAATTATGAGGCTTTTGATGAGGAGCGACAAACACGGAGCCTACGACCGCGTCAATAGCACACTGGTCAAGCGAATTAATGCTCATTCCTTCTTGACAGGTTATAAATAACCTGGTGTAGCCCTCAGAATAATCAGAGAGAAGAGATTAGTCGAGGTTTACCTCTTTCGCTCCGCAAGAAGAGGCAGTGAGGGTCACTTATCCGTCGCCACCGCCACAATCATCCCCGCCGCCGTCCGCTGCCACCGTCCGCCGCCATTATCCCACTGTTTATTGTCACCCCTTATCGCCGTCGCCGCCACCGTCCACTGCCACATTTTTGCCCCATTGCTCCTACCACTGTTCGCCTTCACCATTCGCCACCGCTGCCGCTCTCCGCGCCTTTGTCTCCGCCATCCGCTGCCACCCATCGCCGCCCCGTCGCCGCCGCTGCCACCAGCCCTGCCTCCGCCTCTGTCCGATCCACTGTTTCCGCCATTGCCGTCGCCTTCTTTTCCTCTGCTCGGCACGGTCCGTTAATGTTCCCCCTTTCTCCTTTTGTTTGCCACTTATTAGGACTTCAAGCCCCGGTTCACGGTATCCCGATCCGTTGGACCGAATCGGCCCAACCGCCTGGTCCACACCGCCTCATCCTACTAGTCCGACTCTTACTGGAACACCTAGTCCAGCAATCAACCGGGGCACCCGGGTCAACAGTCAACATAAAGTCAACTTTTCAAAAGTGGGTCTAAGCTTCAGTTTGTAGTTCTCCACTGCTTCGTCGCCCATTCTGACGACAAGTTTATGACTAAATGCTCTTCTTTCGAAATTTAAGTATTTTGTTCATTTAGTATTTTATCATGTAGCATTCCTGTTGTGTGATCCATAGATGGGCCCCCTTATATTCATAGCTGGTGGTTAGTGAGATTGTTAACCTAATTTATTTACAATAGATTGAGTTATTGACTGTGGAGCGCAGACAAATCATTTGACGATTTCTCAATTGCATCGATCCTTTTATTTCAAATATTTGTGGGAAAACACCCGATCTTGGTTTAGTTAACATTCTCTAGGGTAGTCTAGTCATTTTCATCATCTCATCCAACATGCACTCTAGGTTGCCCAAAAGAGAGAACTTTCCAACACCTTTCTATTTCGGTTTCAGTTTGTAAGGACAAAATTGGTTGATCTGAGAATGAAATTGCAAGTCTCTTTAATTCAAGCTTGATTTTGATATGGATAGACAACAATCAATTTTGGCAGGATGAAGGTGAAGACAAAATAACAGTCGGTTCATGCTGGGTCGACCTTCAGATGTAGAGGTGACAGTTCATTTGAGCCAGGAACAAGCTGAAGATGAAATATCGTTCGCTTTGCTGCAACCTTGATCTTGATGTGAAGAGGAAGTCAAACGTTGTCATTTGATCCAGGCTCGAGCTGCATGGAGATGTGTAAATGATTTTATGCACGGTCGATTGGTTTCATTCTGCACGTGATCGGAAGGCAAAGGCGAAAAGTCTCTCTTTGCAGCAGCGTGTAGGAGATGAGGAATTGAACTTTATTCTATGCTGGAACTGTCCGCACCAGTTTCTTAACCCACTTTTTTCTTCCTCACGCTTTTCCTCATTTCGCCCTTCTTTCAGCGATCAGCCATCGCTCAGGAGAAAACACAAAAGATTAGGTGAAGACCAAATGGACCGCATGTGAACGGACGGATACATCCCCGGTGATACAACAGATACATCCGTTTACCCATTGACCGACCGTCCGAAAACTTCGGATTCATGCAGTGTAACGGATCGGTCTGTTATGTTACTTTACTGAGATCCGAGATCCAAAACGGGAAGCAAAAATTAAGCTACCACATCCGTCTCTCATTTAAGCTTCATCTCTTCTACGGTGGTTGATCACACAAATTTATGCCGTCGAAAACAAGTAAATATGACCGCATTGCCAACATTTTTCCATCCGAGCGCATTTCTGTTCTTCCAATTAAAGCTGTGACTCTTCTGGACTGGTCGGGTCTACAGTGTAACTTACGAAGATTAGATCTTTTGAGTTCACCGTTTTCGTCATTAGGGGATCTCAGTCATCTCAGTACAAAATATGGCGCTGTAATTTGAGTTCTGTTCACCTTGTACATTCCTCTATCATCAACATGTTCGATGTAAGATGGTATATCTTGTACTACATGTCGGTTGTTATCGAACCATACTGAGACGTTTTTTGTGCAGAAGAAAAAATAAAAAGATCATTCCGACTTTAGTTTCATGAGGATATCTCTAAGAAAACAATAGTCCCATCATCGTCAGCGCTGATGAGCACAAATCAGAAGGATCACAGCAACGTCTAGGACGGGAGATAAAGTGGCCTGGGGTTCACCAATAACCGCGGAGTTTATTCATATGCGTAAGTATTAAACGGTAGACCGTATCCTCAGGAGAAAAGGTTCAAGGGCACGCAAACCCGGCAGACACCGGCTTGCCGCACAAAGTCAGCAGACGAGCGACGTCCCCGGGAACCCGCACTCCTAGGCCGAGGAAACTGTTTCTCGCAGCGAAGCAAAGGCACGCTACGGCTTGTTCGTCGGAGAGACTCGCGATCAGGTTGCAACAAGGTCCACGAACGGGCGGAGGACGGTTGAGCACAGGGGAGCATACTCTTAGTCTGTTGGCATTAATTAAGCAGACCACAGTTGGGACGCCAGGAGGCGGCGGCGGCGGTGGGGGCGGTGGTGGTGGAGGGGAGGACGGAGGTACCACTGGAGGAGTGGACGGTGGAACTACTGGGGGTGCAGACGGAGGAACGACCGGGGGAGTAGACGGAGGAACGACTGGGGGAGTAGACGGAGCGACGACTGGGGGAGTAGACGGAGGAATCACTGGAGGTGCAGATGGAGGTACCACTGGGGGTGTGGATGGAGGAGCCACTGGAGGTGCAGATGGAGGTACTACTGGGGGCGTGGACGGAGGAACGACAGGTGGTGCGGACGGAGGTACCACTGGGGGCGTGGACGGAGGAACCACTGGGGGTGAGGACGGAGGTACGGGAGGTGAAGGTGGAGATTCGACAGGCGGCGTCGCAGGTGGAGGTGAGGATGGAGCGACGACTGGTGGAGACGGGCTCTCTGTTGGTGTAGGAGGTTGGGGTTCTACGACTTGGGAAGAAGCCAACGTGACGAATAGCAGGTTCACGAGCAAGAACACTGCTGTCATGGCTGTAGTCTTGGCAGCCATGACGACCTTTCTGTTGGGTGATTCAGAGCCGGTGTTGGGCTCGGCTATTATAGAGAGGGGAAGGAAGCCTTGAATGGGGGCTACTGAAGTCGGCCTTTGTGAGGGTTGAACTTGCAATTAAGCACCTGGCTTGACACGATTCTACCGGGGATGGTCGTATGAAAGAGCGTTGTATCTCATGGCCTGCAGTTGCCATATTTATTTGTCGTGCACTGTTAATGGGATTGTGACTTGCAACCGTATCCCACTAAAATTAGCATTGGTCTCATCGCCACCTTATCTCGGGTCAGCAATTAAGACGACGTGAGGAAATTGGCCATGAAGTTTGAAAAATTAATGGGCGAAAGTTTGCCTTTACCTGATATTGCGGTGTGGCAAAGAGCCAAATTTAAGACGGAATTTAACTGGTCAATTTGGTGTGCCAGGTCCAGAACTGCTGACCAGCTCGAACGTTCTATTTCATTAATGAGGTGTTGAGATTTGGAAGATTTTCAACGTCTGGCGTGAGGTTGCGGCTTTAAATGGCGGAATAACCTGCCTGTTCATTCCTCGGCACCCTGAACCGGGACGATTTCTGTCCTACTGGAGACGCTTTAAAGGTCGGAATAACCTGCGAATGATTTTCTCCTTCCGACCATCATATCTTCAAGTCTGTAAGTTGACAAACTATGGTTACAGCGCAATAAGTATAAGGCTACATAGAGGATGGGGATGTAGGTCTAATCAACCTAGCTGCCACATGGTATTTAGCTGCAATTTATGGTTGGAAGAAAACAATACATGCGCTTCCCATTTGTGGTTCGAATAGTTCGTTACACCCTAGGTCCTTCTCTTTCAACTGTGCATGCTACGATGACTTAACAGCTGCATTTTCATAACCTCTTCAAGGTTAATCGAGATTGGAATTTATACACTCTATCCAGAAACAAGGATACGCTGGAACAAATAAGGAATAGACAGACAGAGTCGACCGCTGGAGATCTCTGTGAAAGCCCCAAAGCTGATTGTAAACATTAATATGAAGAAATAAAGGCATAATTATCGAAAAGGATCTTCTTGATTTCCAAAGAATCTTACCAAGAAAAAACTTGAAATACCTTCATACTTTTCAGCTAAATAATGTCGTATTTCTAAAATTGGGTTTGCTGTCTTAGCCATTGTGGAGCATGCGTTGAACCTCTTTGGAATCAGCCAGGTTAAGAGCCAGTCGTGAAGCTCACAGTGATGGGTGCGAAGTTAGCAACAGTGGTGTTCAGAACGCAAGATTTAAATCAATGCGCCATTGAATTTGAACGTTATCAGTGGTTAAAGTACCATGTGATCCAATTATCAGTATTGTATCTTTTGCTGCGTATTGAAAAGAAATTGATCTTATGCTCGCTTTCTGCATTCAATATTTTTACAAGAATATGGCTCGACGTGATATCTACCTCTGTGACAGGACTTATGATAGCCTTCTGTGTTTCAGAATGTTCGTGAGATGTCCACCCCGTATTGTGCTCTTCCTGTTCTGATTTACACATCATAAGGGACTTGGAAAAACTAATCTTTCAAGATTGTTTGATTTTTCATTTGCTTTCAAAATTTTGCTTTTTTAAAATATGAATTAGTTTCATTGTGTACTCTTATTTAGGTCCTGTCGAAGCCAAATAATTACAAACTATACCAGCTGAATCTATATTTGAGAATTATATAGAACTAATATTTTTTATTGTACCGTATCTCATGGCTCGTAAACTTCTGGTTTGAAGGTGTCAACCATCTATTCCCGTATGTGATCTAGATAACGGTGTTTTCTGAGACGATAATAATCGAGATTAGACAACTTCAATGCAGTCTACCAACAATCGAAAATTTATTAGAGTTTTCTTCTAAAAGGCTGGAAAAAACAAAATTTTGTAGTGTGCTGGTAGGGACGGAGCTAAAAAAGACTGTCATGAGTTTGTAGGCGGGACGATTGGGAGATAGACAGTTGAGATATGGATAGTAAGGTGGTGAATAAGGGTGATTGAGAGATGGACAGCAAGGTGGTGAGTAGGGGTGATTGAGAGAGGGACAGCAAGGTGGTGAGTAGGGGTGATTTTGAGATGGACAGCAAGGTGGTGAGTAGGGGTGATTGAGAGATGGACAGCAATGTCTGGTGTCCAACGCTGGTACTATCCTCGAACTTTTGCTTGAGAAAAAAAGTGCGGTGTGGCAAAAAGTCTAATTTAAGACGGAATTTGAACGGTCAGTTTGGTGCACCGAGTCTACATCTGTTATCCAGCTCGAACGTCCTCTTTCATTGATGAGGTAATTCAGATTTGGAAGATTTTCAATGTCTGGGGTAAGGCTACCGCTTTTAAGGGCGGAAAGCCCAGCCTATTAAGTCTTCAGCACTCTGAACCGGGTTGATTTCTGTGCTGATGGAGACGCTTAACTATAGACTTGTGAAGAGAGCACAATACGCTTAAATAGGGGATGGAGGTTTAGTCAACTTAAATTTAAATGCCATGGCATTTAGATGCAATTTCTGGTTGCAAGTAAACATTGTATGTGTTTCCATTTTCTGGTTCGAAAATTGTAGAAGTACAAATACAACGAAAACCCTGCTGTTACTTCCACTGTGATGCAGGGTGTTGGTCTCACTTGGGCCTGTATCTCCGCACTAGATACACTAAATACATCAACGACAAACAAGAAGTAGAATAAAATATGGATATCAGAGGTCACACCACGACAAGCGAGAGAGAAAATAGTCGTAACACAGGAAAACACCACAAGAGAAAAGAGTTCCCCCACAAAAAGAAGTTTCAAGTTCATTACAGCGTTGGTCAACTCTGCACATGCCACGATGTCTTAGCAGCTGCATTTTTGCAGTTCTTCAACCTTAGCAGTGATTAGAATTTATATACTGTATCTGATGACAAGGATATGCAGGAATAAATGAGGAAAAGACAGACCAGTCGACCCTTGGTAATCTGTGAGAGCCATCGTTGACTGTGTACATTAATGGGAAAAATTAATTCCACAATTATTGCATAGGCTCATCTCGATTTCCGAAGTTTCTAAACGCCTACAATTGAAATAGTTGTATTTTTACGATTGTCCGTGTTGTCGAAGACATTTTGCACCTTTCCTTATACCTTTGTTTAAAATTGTGGCTTTGAAAAGGCTATGTCATGTACCAGTGGTAGAGAGATAAAGAACAAGTCGTGACGTTCAAAATGATGGGTTGGAAATTAGCAACAGTGGTTGTTAGAACTCACGGCTCACACTAATCAACCATTGATTTTGAATATTATCACGGGTATTGTACCTACCAACCCCATGACTCATATTGAATCTTTTGCTGCTTATCCCCAAGAAATTGATCATAAGGTGAATATGGTGCATTCAATATTTTTCAAATATTTCTGCTCAGCAAGGGATTTATGTCTGTGAAAGGAATTTTGATACCTTTTTGTGTATTAAAATGATCATGGAATGTCCTCCCATTGTTGTGTTCGTTTTCATATTATTTACACATCTTATTGGACTTCCTATAACTTTCAATCCAGAGTTTTCTATTTGTGATTGTTCTTTCGGTTTCAACAGTTTTTTCTATTGAAATTTGAATTGGTTTCAAAGGGTGCTCTTTTTTATGTAGTTCAATCCGAATAACTGCACATTGTATCTTTAGATTCTTTACCTGAGAACTCTAGGGAAAACATGTTTTGGTTGTACCTTATACCACCGGTAGTAAGCTTCTGTTTTTAAAACAAAATGTTTCGGTTTCCCCTGTAGCTTTAATTTTGCCAGATGCCGACTATCTGGCCCCTTACCTGATCATGATGACGGTGTTTTGTGAGACAATAACTGAGATTAAACTACATCAATGGCAGTTAACCAACAAACGGAAATTTATCTGGGTGTTCTTCTGAAAGGCTTGAAAGAAGACAATTTGGCCGTGTGCTGGTGGGAGTGGCGTTAAAGCCGACAGTCATGAGTCTGTAGGGGGAGGAATGAAACGTGGATGGTAGGTTGCTGGGTATGGGTGGGATCACTCTGGAAGAATGATTTCCACCTTCAAGAGTGTAGACATGGTAATATTCCTGACTTCTTTTGAAAGTAAATATTAAATGAAGAAATAATTTAGTTTACTTTTGCAGGTATAGACGACACGTAGTTTCTTTTTTCAATTTGATTGAGGACAGTAATGCCTCTTTAGAAGTGTTGCATTTAGTTCGTTTCAAGACATGTTGCTAAGTTTTCACGAGCTTCAATTAACGTAGTGGAATATCCAATATAATTTCCTTGGTTTGGTAGTCAGGATAATTCACTATGAGTCCCCTTGAAGGTCGGTTGGGCGGTCTCTTGTCTCCCTGCTGACGCTAAAACAAGTTTTTCTGCGTTTCCTACGATACAGGGCACGCTGCTGGACATTCCTGAACAGTAATATCCTTCCAGAAATCGGATGTAAGACGGAATCATGTATGGTAAGATTGGCGTTCGGCATCAACATCAACTGTCCACCTCTCACATCTCAGTTCGTTGACTAGGCATAGAAGTGATTATGATTTTAATGTCCGGCATAAGGTCGCCGTTTTTATGCGCACAAAAAGCCGTCTATTAATCTCTGCTTGTCCGACAACGGCAATAGAAGATTTACTTTGACTCTGACCGGAGAAGATGTGTGTATTCACGTCGCCGCGCTGGGACAGATTTGTGGGGCCAGCTGCATGTTGTGATAGTTTGATTATATTTTTATCTGTTCCAAGTTGCACGCCGACGAATTCAGGCTGCATTTCTATGTGAATGGATACGGAGGCTATGTTAACCTGGAAACTGTATCGCATTCACACCTAGTATTTTGTCCCCTGAAGAATATCTTTTCACAGGGAGAAAATTTGAGATTTCGAGTGGAACGAAAGTTTTATGTCGGTTACCTTGCGATCATTTTCTCGATTATGTAAAGTAATAATCGGGGTATTGCAGATATGATGAATCAGATTTTAATTTTCTTATTGACAAACCGTACA